AAAGCTGGAGCATCATCTATTCGTGGGTTCTGATTGGACCAGCTGGCAACAACATTCAGTTTTTGACAGTGTCAATCTTAATGTGACAAGATGACTCATCTTTCTCCCATGGAAAGACAAAGACCTGGAAACATCTTTCTCCTGTGGATTTGATCCTACTGTCATTTCCCTTAAGGTAACTTATAATGCTTTATATTTTTTCAGAATTATTTTATCTTGTTTATTTAATTTGCTTATCTTGCCATTTTGTAGTTTGTCTTTTCCATTTCTATTTGATGTAGCTCTATGCAAATTAGGACATTAACAACTTATATACTATTTTCAAGCTCTGGTAGCCAAGTGGCAAGAAGCTGTGCTGTAATCTCAAAGGCACACAGTTCGAGGCCACCAGCTGCTCCGCGGGAGAAAGATGAGCAGTCTTCTCCTGTGCGATCAACTGTCTCTGAAAACCCACTGAAGACTCAGAAATAGGTTGGTTCCGACCAGACAGTAAACAACAAGATCAACAACAACATACTATTTTCATTTAAAAACCATGTGCAGGTTATTATTTTACTTATGAACCACCTTATTTTGAGCATCTTTCATTTGGTTTCATTTTTCTACTGTTTTTAGAAACTCCCATTTTAACTACATGAATTTCAGTATAATGCTATAATAAGGTAACTGCAGAAAGGCCACTAATAATGTTATTTTACCTTATTAAATAACAGCAGAGGAACTATAAACATCCAAATATCTTTTATGCTAGTAAAAAAACTTTCCACTAAAAAATGGATCTTTTTTCCTCTTTTACATTTTGAGAAAAAAAAAATTACTACAACTTTCTCTTAAGATCTCTGATTTCAAAACCCAATTGGGATTTCAAAATACAAGTAAATAAATGTCAAAGTCTTTTGGCCTCTATTCTGCCATTCTATACTTGAAATGCTGCCAAAATGAAATTTTCCATTCAAGGAGGACTGGCATTACTAAGCTGATTTTTTTAAAGACGCATTTTCAAAAGTAGTGGAAACTTTGTGCAACTCTTGACGTTCCCCTCTGTGGAGAACAGCTGCCTCCTTAGACATTTTCCACGATTGTAACATTTTCTGAAAAACAAAACTTGAGCCTTTCCAATGTCTGCAGCCACTGGGGTTGTTGGTTTCCTTCAGTGCCAAGCATAGAAGATAAACAGCCGCCAAACTAAAAGCCAGTGTCTCAAAGAGCATCAAAGCACAAAAAGGCCAGAAAGAAAAGGCCAGAAGAGAAAGTGGAAGGGAGAAATTAACCATGGTTCAACTGTTTACTCGCGAGAATGGCACCGTTGTCTCAAAACTTAAAGCTGTTTAAACTAAACTAATACAGTAGGGAAAATGACTGCCTGCTTATTCACATCCGATTAAAATATCAATTAAAGTCTTGTGATCAAATAGTTAAATGCTATGAATGGGTTTAAAGTACTTGAAAAGGAATGGAGCTTCAGCAAATAGGAAGTGAAATCTCAGAATGAGGTGTCTTTGGGGCGTGAGAATCCAGCAGTCAGAAGGTTGGGCATGGGGCCTTGTAGAAAGGAGAGGATCGGAGAAATGAACACTAAATAAAACTGCTAGCCAGCAGAAACCTATGTTATTCCTAACAGAAACGTAGCAACCACCACCACCACCACCAAACAAACCTGCAAGAAATCTGTGGGATGAATCAAAGGTAGAAATGAAAAGTACAATTCAACAGGGAGAAACCAAAAATCTCTCTACAGTAGAGTGTAAAACTGTTTGCACTTCTAAAAATAACAATGAAATAGCAAGTCTCTCCTCACTCTACTTCTCTTGCTTTGTTCTGGGGCACTTTTATTTGTACGGAGCGCATCTGGGAACTTTCCCAAAGAAATTCCTGTAATTTTGTACTTATTTCCCCCTTTTAAAGTATTACTCCTCAAAGCTCGTTGTTTTTGTTTTTAATTTCTAGTGTTTGTTCCGAGGTGGCACAGTGGTTACGCTTTTTAACCGAGGAGTTTGAACCTACCAGCCTTTCAGGAGCTAGAATGTGGCAGTTCCAGATTTAGTTTTGGAAACCCTGAGGCAGTTTACTCTATTCTTGGGGGTCGCTTGAAGCCGGAATAGACCAGAGGGCCATGTTTCTGCTTTTCAAAGTACTTGATTCAGGGTCGGAACACAGAGGATGTAGTGAGGCAGAAAGAAAAGTTTCGAGATGTAGGAAGTTTAGGCCTTTGTGTGTCAGCAACCCCCCCTTCACACCCCCAACCATGTGACCTAGAGAGGCCGGAATTTTGTGAATGGAGCTGAAAGGTGGCTGCGGGGGCGTGCAAGGCCCCGCCCCCTTCACTTAGGCAACCAATCCCCTAGCGGAGCGCTGCGGGGTCAGCACTAAATAACAATGGGCTGGGAACAGACGGTTTGTTATTGGCTGTGGGGAGAACCTCTCCGGGACCTAACCCAAAGCTCCTCCCCCTCCGGGTTACCATGGATACGGGCTGGGCTGTGGCTGTAAAGAAGGTCTTTGGAAACTGTTGCTCAGATTACAGTGGGTGGGTTATCCCGGGAGTGTGGGGCGGCGGGACACCCTCGCTATTGGCCCCCCGCCTGGGTAAATACACTGGAGTCTTACAGGCCTTTAGCCTCGACACCAAGCTGCTTCCAGAACTCCTCCTTGGAGGGGTTAAAGTGCATTTCCCGCTCGAAATGCTTATAAATGCTCACGTTGTCACAGGCTACTTTGAGAATTCTCTATGTGTACCGTGTTGTCCATGATTATTGGCTGGTTTCGTAATAATAAGCCGTTTGTTTGGGTTTGTTTTTTTTTTTTTTTTCTCTTTTTTACATAGCTTTTTCTCTTCCTGGTTCCCTTTGGGTGCGGAATTGAATCTTGCTGTGCCCACGCTTCATTTTAAAGCTTATCCACAACGTTCCATTTAAGGAAGGAAACTTTCAAATAGAAATCGAGAAGTGTAGCACTGGAGTGACCAACAGCTGCCAGAAACGCCCTTTGGTCACTAGCTCCGGTCTCCTCCTGGATCGCAAGTCAATTTTAACACCAAGTGTGTGGTTCCATCCCCAGGGCCTCCCAGCCCTTGGGCCATACCTTTTTACTGTCCCAAGTTCTGCGGGAGAGTCAGTCACTGCTAGTGGCTCCGGAGACGAGACCCAGCTCTCACTTTTTAAGGTCCCAGTCATTGTCCTTGAAATCCGAGCACTCTTTCAACTCTGAGCTCAGGCTGTTTAAAAAGCTCGAGAGGAAGTGAAAGCGTCAAATACAGTAAGTGACACCTTCTCCTCCGTGTATACATAACAAAAGCTCAGGAAATGTGCGAGTCCTCACGATATATGAGCCAACCCCTCTGCTCCCCATTCTTTACCACCTCCACACTGGGTTGAAAGCACCACGTCCAAAGCGCACGTAGGTCCACATTTGATTTTTATATACTATTTCTCACCCAGATTGCTCTGTGGTCTAACCCCCAACCCCTTCCCAAAGCAACTCTCCTAGTAGGCATTTCATCTGTGTCTCTCACATCCTTCCAGCATGAATGAGGTGCTTTCATTTTCTGTCCCAAGAACCACAGGGTCTCATTTTAGTTGAGCCATAGTGGTGGTGGTGGTGGTAGGGAAATATGTAAAACTTGGGCCAAAAATTAGGGAGAGAAGTGGATTCCTAGGGAGCGAGGTGGGTCAAGAACAGAGAGATCTGCCTGTGATCTTGCCTTAAGGGTGGATGCATTTTAGATGGCGCTTTAATGTCTATACACCTGGACCAAACAAAAGTGTTTCAAGGAAGTGAACCAAACCAGTAACAGAGACTGGCGGCGACTCGATGCACATGGCAGCAGTGTCCCCGGGCGTCCTAACAATAAGCTGCGGGAGGCAGCGCAGTGGATTCCACCAGCGTTTCCAGCTTGCAGATTCTGCTTCTCCCGGCCCGGCACCCTTTCCTGCAGAGGGGCGCGTGAGACAGGGGGCAGCCAGCCGCCTGATTGACAGCCCGAAATCTGATCTTGTGAAAGAGACGCGGAGCCAATGGGAGGCAGCGATCCATCAGTTTGGATTGGAGGCCCCTGGAGGAGAAGTAGAGGAAAAACCACCGAATTGAGCTCTGTCAGAGCCGCTTTCAGCTTCCAAGGGGGAAGTGCTGGGTAATAATTAATGTTTTTATTAAATTTGGAGGGATATTTTTGCAGCCGTTCGCCTTCAGGTGGGTCTTTCCAACAACTTTTTATGTCTCTCCAGATAATTGCATGGTTGTGGGTTGCAAAAACTATCCTTACGAAAGAGGTGTCTCCGTCTCTTCAGTCCCGTTAGGTGCAAAGCAAGTCTCGTTGATCGCCATTGCTAGTTTTGCACACGTTTGCGAATCAGCGCTCCCCGGGGTACACTGACCGCGCAGGGAAACATCGAGAGCGTAAATAAATGCATCGACTCTTGTTCGGATTTTTGCTACTGCCGAAAATATGTAAATTGTGAACTCTCTTGGCTCTCTTTGGATCCAGGTGAAGGAGGCGGTGTAGGGAGGGTTATTTTTGTGAATGGGACTGTTGGAGGGTGATTAGCTATGCAAATTCAAGAGCTTCATTCATGATTTTTTTTTAAGCCTAAAAGCCATCTTGTTCCCCTCTAGGTTGATAGGAGTCCAGATCCCGTGGAAATCTTCAGCTAAATGCTCAAAATATAAAATACTGAGCTGAGACTTGCGAAGAACTGCAGGATGGATGGATTTTATGACCAGCAAGTGCCTTACATGGTCACTAATGTGAGTGATCAGTTTGAAAGTTGCTGTTTATAAACTTGACTCTGGGGGGGGGGTGAGAGGGAGGAGTGGGGGAGGGAGAAAATGAGAAGGGAGGGGGTAAGGGGGTTGGGATTGCAGATACTTTATCTGCTTTGTTGCCACTGTAGGGCGACTCTGCTTCTAGAAGCCCAATCTTCAAAATGAGCTTACCTTTCAGTGACTTGGATAAGGCATAGTTCTGTTTTTAAGACCCCTTTTTTAAAATTAAAGTGTTCAAGATGAGTGGAAGAGGAAGTGGAGGGCAGCAGCAGCTGCTGCACTCAAAGTTTCTGGCTGGGTTTGTCTGCCACATTGAAAAGAATGAAGTTGGGACAAATGCTGACACTTTTTGTTTACATGGAGTATTTTTCTTTTTTCTTCTCTCTCTCTGAGGAAAAAAAATCTCTATTTTAGCGCTCTTTTTAAAAAATCTGAGACACTAAAAATGACTGTATTTTAAACTAGAATAAAAAACAACCTTAAGTTTAACTGCTTATGGTTGTTATGATGCTGAGATGCCATGATTGGTAATTAGTATTTAGATAGGCAAAGACAGCAACTCTCCCTTTCAATACTGTTCCAATATAGATTTTTTTCACTGTCCTGAATGCAGAAAATGAGTATTATAATTGATATTGTAGCATTTATTTTTCTATTAAAATCCAGTAGACTTTGGTATTTATGCATGTGATGTTTGTGTGTGTGTGTGTGTGTGTGTGTGTGTGTGTGTGTGTAAGGGAGAGAGAGAGAGATCTGAGATTTACATTCTTTAAAAGGATTTTATCTTTCCCTTTTAGAGTCAGCGTGGGAGACATTGTAACGAGAAACCAACAAATGTCAGGAAAAGAAAATTCATTAACAGAGATCTGGCTCATGATTCAGAAGGTGAGGCTTGATTTTAGACTGAATTCCCCTTCTTTATCTACCCTTCCACCCCAGAAAGAAGATGAACACTTCAGTTTTACCTTAAATATAGTAAACCTTGACATTAGAGACTTTAAATAATACTTTCATTTGGGACAGACAGATTACATTAGAGTGTCAGCATTGGAGAATGTTTTGTGACTTGTCCCAAAACTAATGAAAGAAGTCAATAAAGATTACAAGTAGTATTTTTTTCTCATTTTTTTTATGTTTAAATACACTTTTCCATATGACAAATAGTATTCTAGAATAAGGTATAAATTCTAAAATAGTCAACAAACACATAGGCACATGTTAAGCATCTGCGTACACTGCTTATGTGTTTCTTCATACATGATAGATTTGCTTGATGTCCCTTCCTATTTGCATTAAAATCATATATTATAAAATTCTCAACAAAAAAAATTAATGAATACAAAGTGGAATCATAATACTTTGTTTATAGGCCTTGAATGTGTTCACTGAATCATAATGTAAGTCTAATTAATAATTATATTACCTATTTGAACACTTAGGCTATAGATTTCATTTTATGAACCATTGGTAGAAGGTTAATATGGTGTAATTTATTTCAGCCATATGGGAAACTTCATAATAAACTTAATACACTTGGATTCAGTTGTCAAAGTGCAGTTTTCAATTAGATCAGATTATGAATTCTGAAACTTCCTAAAATCCTTATACTTTACTTACCACCCCCACCTACTCCACTCTGACCCACCTCAAGAAGTGTTGAGAAATAAAAAACAACTGACAGAATGTACATTTTTGGATTTGATAGCTCATAGATGTTAGAGAATTATTTCTTTTTGATTTTGTATACTTTTTAATGTAGAAATTTTCCTTGAAAAGCTTGTATTTAAAAGATATCCCTTTTAGTGTTACAGTATTAAATCTGACAGCATACAGTACTTTGAGGGTTATTTCATATCCTGTTGTATTATTTATATAGGATTCAGAAGACATAAACAAAAGGCTTTTCAATCTTATTGTTTCTCTAACTGCTACTTAGCAAGAGTTACATAAATTTAAGAAAGACTTTCATTGATAGCCACAGCCACACCTTTACCTTAACCATTTCCCCCCCTGAGTCTACTGTAAGTGTTTGAGGCCTCTAAGCTTACTTATTGAGTAGTTTGCTAAGGAAAGATAAAAGAAAAAAGAGAGCTACAAAAGATTATTATGTAGTTTTTAGACTGCAAGTGCGTCTTTAAAAAAAGTATTTCTTAAGAGGCATAAAAAATGTACAGGATTGTTGGGCTAAGAATCCATTTTTTTCTCCTTTTATATTGATTTCCCCATAAATTGAATTGATATTTAAAATGAATTTTACAATGATGAACATATCTATTTAATGAAACCTTAAAGGTTTGCATCTCTTGTGTCCTTTGACTTTTTTTAGAACTCTTTCAAGATCTAAGTCAATTACAAGAAACATGGCTTGCAGAAGGTAAGAGGCAAAAAAAAAAAGCTTTAAAAGGTTGGGGGGAACAACTCTAGAAGGGGGGGAAAAAGCCCTGAACTTGCTGTCTTAATGTTCAGCCCAATTAATTGAGCTCTAAAAGAGCCACCTCATGTGTCATGCATACATTAGAGCCTCTGATGAGTTTGTCTTTGGGGACTCTGGGGCTGCACTACCCAGTGTCATCACAAATTACCAGGAGAAATTGCTTCCAGCTCACAATCACATCTGCTTTTGGCAAGAACTAATGCACCAAGACTTCAAGTTCTAAGCCTCTGTTCAGATTTTAATTGCAATTGATCAGTTTTATATTATTGTACCTCGAGAGACCTCCGAGAGCCAGAACCCTGCTTGCTGTTTCCTTTAGAGCAGCGCATATCATTATTTGGTGTTCTGGTGGAGGACTTCTCTGATGGCAGAAATTAGTTTCTCTGGGTTCATCAGGACGGGATGCTTCAAGATTTAAGTGCAAGTGTCTTCTTTCCACCTTGCTCACAACACAGAACGCTAGGTGTGTATCTCATATTAGGAAATGTATGCATTTAAAAGAAATCTTTGGGGGGATATGATGATTTTTAAATTTTTTTTAATCTTTTACTGTACATGTGATGTTTGTTGAAATTGACCTTTGTTATTTTGTCATCTTTATTAGGATTTCTTTACACTAGCAAAGAGACATTTACATCTACCACTTTGATTTCGAGTTATTTTGTGATGAAATTTTGTGTTCAATCTGTTAATCTTTCATTGTGTGAAACTTCATTTTATAAGAACAATAAGGCATAGCTTTAGCAAAGCTCTGTAGAACTTCAAAGAAGCCAAATGTTGAGAGATGTTGTTAGCATTCATGATCTGAAATTTTCTTTTGTATTTAATATAATGAATGTGAAATTTTAAATTTTTTCTTGTGATGTGTTTGTGGGGAACTGAAAGCGATTACAGGCATTTAAGCACTGAGTAATTTTATTACTTCTGTCTTCACATTGTAAAGGAAATGGAATTTCTTGAATAGATTTTTGAGATAGTAAAGAGAGAGAGAGTTTTTAAGTTGAACCCCAGTGTGCTATATGTACTTTGAGGCAAGCTGACTTGTTTAATCAGATGGTTTAACCTGTACTTGGTCAAGTTGCTGTTAGTGTATGTAAAATAAATTTCTTTGTTTTGCTGGTGTTATAGTTCTCCAAAGAGCTTTTCTAATCTTTATGAATCTTTTAAGTTAAATAGCTTTCCTATCAAAGGGCGATTGTTTTAAGTGTTATTGAAAAGGTAAGTATACATGAAAGTCTTTATTGCATTTGAAGATTACTTTTTTGTGTCTCTGTAAATGAAACTTATTGCAATAGATTACTTATTATTGCAACATAAGCCATACGATTGTAACTTTTTCAAGAAAAAAAAATCCACAGAGGTTCTCATGTTGACTTTTAAGTATTAATTTTAAGAAGTTGAAGGTTATGAGGTCATTACATTTATGAAGAAATTTATCCATTTCCCACAGATAATCTAAAATATCTATTTTAATTGTTCCGGAATGTTTATTGCTTCTTAAGATTTTAAAATATCATTGATTCCAACTCAGTGCACTTGCTGGCTGACTTTGAAAGTGCCTAGAAACTCTGTTCCTAGAATTTTAAAATGTAGAATCTTTGACAGATTCCTAACATTTTATAGTCAATTTCAGAACATTTTTTTTATAAATTTTTAACTTGTTTTGTTTCTTGTAGCTTCATTGAGTGATGTGACTAATCTATGTTTGTATTTCAAAGTTCTGCCTTGAATATTCTTATTCATAATGTCTTACCATACCTGTAAGTTGAATTCAAAGATTTACCTTTATACAAAATATACCTCAGAAATAATTTCTGTATTTGAGAAGCATAGACTTTAACCTAGTAAAGAATGCATAAACTTAATAATTTAGAGATTTAATCCTCATAGTCTTTTACTGAATGCCCAGGTACGTTACTGCTTGTAAACTGAAGATAGTACAGCATTTAGAAGTATTTAAACAGTTGTCAGATATGTTTTCATTAATCTCGTCTTATTAAAAGAAAAAATTGCTAAAGTGATTTTTTATCTAATAAAGAGTTTTTAAATCCATTTGTTAATTGACACCACATTATTTTTGAGTAATTGAATTAAATTCTATTATCTTGCATTAACATTTTAACTTGACTTACTCTGTCACTTGAGTAATCAGCTAAAAAGAGATCTCAAAATTATCCGAGTCTATTTGTAGCTAGAATTGTCCATTTATGTCCTTCTCAACACCCAGAAATTAAAACATTGCCAAATTAAGAGACTATATATCAGTTATATATACTTTTAAAAAAAAATTAATGATTGGTAGCTAAGAAAGTGACCATGGAATTTCAAGACATATTGACCCTTTCTGAAAAGATGTTTGGCAGTTAACCAAGTTTCTCTCATGAGTTGGAGTCTTAGTGGTAAATTAAATAGGTCTAAAAATCTTATTAGATATGAGTCAAGTTAGTAGCAATGTGTTAGTTACATGAAAGTCAGGATTTTTAAGAAAACAAAGTTTCTAACAATGTAGGATATGATGTATTTTGACATACTTAATCTGTTTATTCCTATAAGAATTACTCTAAGGAAGACACAAACCTCAATATAAGTTACTAGGTAAACTAGCATATATTTTTATGTATTTCATTTCCAAGAGGAAGTTGAAGTATGCTAAGAAGGATTACGAGAAGGTGAAATGGAACCATTTTTTTTTTTATTAAATCGTTTCTAAATACACTTTCATTCCCAAAATAATTCCTTAATAGATATAAAAAATAAATTCAGAACTTTACATTAGTATCACTTTCTGCAAATTGACAGTACAGCACAAAGGTTTTTTAATGAATATATCACAATTTGAACACATCTTCCCACACTAAATTTAAGAAAATTGACTATTGTTTTCAGTAACCAGCGTATCAATTAAAAAAAAAAAAAAAACCAAACAAACCAAAAAACACACCCAGAATGTCTAGTTTATATTTGAGCCACTAAACTTACAGTTTTACTATTTAGTACTCATTAGTAATTATCTTTTAAAATATATTACTACTGATGGGAAGGCAGTGGCAAAGATTTGATCTTACTAAGTATTATGTTCAAATTATCAGTCTTATCAACATCATGGTAGCCTCTTATTCTTTAACAACCTGTCTTAAGTTGTTTTTGAGACTTAAGGTTGTAGAAATGCAGTTAACATGGAAACTTTTGTGTGAGTAGGACATAAATAAAAGGAGGTAAACGTGAATTTAAAACACACTGCATTTTGGAAACTTGCTTGTGAAAGCATATGTACAGATATAATTTAAAGAAAGCAATGAATTTTTGGTAGGTGTGTAATGTAGTGGTTTAGAAGGTTCGTTAGGCTCCTTTCCTCAGAACTATAATAAAAGAAAGTCGGCCATGATGCACTACTGGGTTCAATCTTTATGTTTGTATTAGTGAAGCCTAATGTTTCCACCATACTTTCAACTTGATTTATCTCCAAAACAGCCTACACCGAAGGCTATATATTATTACCTTATGCACAGACTTTTTTTGGTTTTATATATGCCCATTTGGGTTATATTATCCTGACTTAAAAGTAGATATGCCATTATTATCATCTCATTGTGTTCCAATGACTGAATCGAAATTACTATAAAAAAATTCTTTATGAATTTCCTAAACTAACATGTGTTGTTAGTTGTATACTAAATGCTGTACATAATATACAGTAGTCAAAATGGACTTACTTTTGAGATATAAAAAAATTCTATAGTTTCAAAAATGGAACATCCAATCAGATAAGTGATCATGAATGTTGTTTTTCCCCCTGATATGAAGAACAAAAACATTTAAATATACATTTTTATGTGGTTTGTATTAAAAAGGAATTAGGATTGTGCATTAGATTATAGGTGTCCATACAACTTCCTAGCATTCAACCAAGTCATTTGTGTGTGTGTGTGTGTGTTTATGTGTATGTGTGCATGTAGTGAAAGGGCTACTGTCTTTCACGTCAAGAAGTACTTTGCAATATGAAAGAATAACTTTTCAATTGAATTCAATTCACATATAGAAGGTATAGAATAGAAGGTAGTAAATATATCTTTTTTCTAAATATTCATTGGACTTTGAACAAGGTTTTTTGATATGAAATCTCTATGCTAAAAAGAAAAATGTTTTTAAAAACAGTTAAATTGTACTTATTATTGCATAGGTATAGTTTTCCCCAGAAGGCCTTAATAAATGTTAATGAAACATTGCTATGCTTTTCTAGTTCAATCACTGAAAATGTCTAATTTTTTGTATTACACAGTATTACTTTATTTCCCGATCTGTGTCTAATCTTTTAGGGAGTTTTTTAAATGACAATATAGGTAGTACCTCTTTAGCAGTAGACATAATATTGATCTAGAAATAACTAGCTGAACTATCTTTAAAGTTTTCAAGTCATTGAAGGTCAATTTGTAGGTAAGAAAAGTAAGCTGACAGCTGAAACTGGCTATTTTCTTTCATTTACTCTTAGGACATACAGCAACAGTGTTCTTATTAAGTATTAAAGATATTTCTGTCATTGGATAAATAGCTCCCTTTTGTGTGTGTTTACTTATGTTTATACTTCTACATTAATTAATGCTTATACATTGGTACAATGATTTTAATGTTAAAAGCGGATGTTATAAAACCAGGCTTAGTGGACTCATGATTATTTTGTTCCATGGCCTGAAGCTTTACTTGAGCATTAAACTGAATGCACTGTTTGAGGGTTGATTCCCTGCCACCCCCACCCCCACCCCCCGCTTATTAGAGAATTTAAAAATGTTTGCATTTTCTTTACAGAAAAGCTATTTCTTTGATTTAAAGTGAAGTGTTATAAAATTTAGCACAAATTCATCATGATTTTTCTTACTATAAAGAAAATGTGCATAATTAACCAAAAAAGACTTTTCTTGAATGACTTTTCTTCTCCTTTCCTGGTCCTCTGCTGCCCTCCTCACTTCTTTCTTCTTAGCTCTGTCTATTCAAGCCTCTTTGACGGGCTACCCTAGAAAGCAGGGTGGGTTAAATGATTTATCTAAATAAATACGATTTTTTAAACACGCCATTTATCTAAATGTGTCCCTTAATGAGTCCAAACTGTATTTGAGACAGGGCAATAAAATTGGTGTGTTTATATTGCAAGTTCAAGTTCACTTGTGTTAGCTCTTCGGAAGGGTGTGACATGAAAAGATTTGCGGTTTGGCCACATGGCTCAGGCTGGACTGTGTTTTTGTGAATGGAGGCAGAACTCCAGATCTGCCTGCTTGTCTTGAGGAATTGCTGAGAAGATCAGCTGTCTCATTCACGGGCAGAAAGAATGACTCATACATCTTCCGCCTTGTTTGGCTCCAGGTCATTGTTACGGTGGATAGAACTGGTTTTAATTAAATATTAACCCTTTGTATACTTGACATTGCTTTAATTTGCTTTTCTTTTCTACTTCACCCCCCCTTGCTTAAAAAAAAAAACACAAACAAACAAAAACAACAAAACACAAACCCCAAAACAAAAAACCTCACAGGCCCCCAGTTTGCAAAAAAGAGAAGGGTTTACTTGCTTAGAGGAGCCAGTCTTGTAAAATGTTAAAAGCTTAGTGTTTCTTAACTAATGATTATTATTATTTAAATAGAATGTTAAATATAAGCCTAAAATAAAAGTAAGCTGTATGTTAAAATTACCCAACCCCACTCCCCCAAAAAATGTTGGTTAAGAAGGAAATGAAAAAAACATGAGGCTTGAGAATTCATGAATATTTTTACGTGTTTTTTCATCCCCCTCTGTGATATATAGTGAAAAAGGAAACAAAACCTGAAAATAGGTTTGGATAATTATCAAGGTAAAGCAAACAGCTGAGAGTGCAGATACTATGCTTTTAAAGCTGAAGTCCAGAGACTTGATGGCAACTTGTCTATTAATGTGCAATGAACTGATAGAGTTGCTCCAGGTATTACCAATAAATGCCGCATGTTTAATCTTCTTGAAAGCCTTTTTTTGTGTTTTTTGGTTTTTCCCCCCCCCCCCCCCCATGCCCTTCTTTTCCTCTTTCTTGTTAATTGTGTAGTGCGTGGAAAACATTTCTATTTCTGGAAATTGTCATTGCAAACTGTGTTATAAATACAATCTTTTGTTTTCTTTGAGCGTTGTTGACTTCTATTGTGAATTTTCAACTTTGGAGTTGGTATGGTTTGCCACGAATTTTCAGGCAGCTGTAGTTTGCTCCTTCATAGAATTAATTACCCTTTGATGAAAAAGAGGAAATGAAAGATACAAGTGTGGCAATGCGTGGTCATATTTTCCTTGCCTAGATCCAACTTGTGTTTTTGGTTAACTGCTTTCCTTTCAGTCAAACTTGAAATTAGAGGTATACTTAAGCCTTTGTCTGTTTAAGTAGCATGCTGCTTCATTTGGTCTATTCAGTTTCTTAAGATTAGCTTCTGTGAAAATGTGAGTCATATGTTTTTTGTTAAAATTCTGTAATATGTTCAGACATAAGTGCGAAGTATTTATTCAGTATGTTAAGGATTTAGACCAGAAATAGCAATTCTTGTTCTTACTCTTTTCTACAAATTCTTAGTGTGCAACTATTTTCTGGGTATTTTTGAGGTATAACTTCCTGTTGCTGAAGTTTTACCTTTTCTCCCTCCCCACATGTGTCACATTTCACAGGCCTATCAGTGATTGTCATGCCTGTCTTGAAGTGACATGTGTCTAGGAATTGCAACTTTGTCTTGTAGTAGTAAGAAAACAAAGGTCTGACCCTTCAGATTTTCAAACCACTGTACTTAGTTACAAATATACTTTTGTTATTCACCAGCTATTTTTAACTATTCTTGTAAGGGATGCTATATTTTAATACAGGCTTATGAATGTTAACTTTTTGAAAGGATAATAATGTCTGTGGCTGAAAATTTTGCATCTTAATAGGTATATCTATTTCATTTTTTACTTTGAGGAGCACGGAAACATGTAGATGTGATATAAACACAGAAAGCAAAAAACCTCAATAGAAAAAACCAAGAAAACCCAAAGTAAAACTGTGTAAGATCTGATTCTATCAGTTGACAGCCTCAGAAAGCCTATGGGGCTGCTTCACTTTCTTCCATAAGGTTGCTGTGAGTTGTATCCTCGCTAATCATATATGTGTGTTTGTAACCACTTTTTAAAGTTTTAATGTGGAGATTTATTTCATGGATTATATAAAATCTCTGGGTGACACAAACAATACCATTTCATTTGTTAGAAATCTAAGAAAAAATAAACTTAATATACTGTCAAAATTTTGTTGTCAGTCTCTAAGATGATGTAATGCATGAGTTTTTACTATTATTAAACACTCATCATATAATTAATTCAATGTACAGGCATTAATTTTGTGTTGTAATTATTGAAATATGTGTTTAGGTTTTTTTTTTAATTGTAAAATAGGGTTAGATGGAAGATGGGAAAGAAGAAAAAACATAACATTTATTGAATACCTGGTATTATGTTTATTCTGATTTATTTAATCATCATAGAAAAAAAAACCACACCAACTCCTCAGTTATCACTATTAAACTTGTGAGTAAAATTTAATTTCAGTAAAATTAAGTTAATTATATTGCTCCAAGTGTCACAGCTAATAAGTGGTACAACTATGATTTGAAATTTACTTGACTTTGAAATCCATAAACTTAGATATTAATGGAATATAATGAGAAAAGTTTCCTCTGTGCATCTTAAGCTCACCAGATAGGCCTGAGTTATACTTTGAAAACACTCTTAGTTTGTTTGCTTTTATGGAGTGACAGGAGGGTGGAGTGTGTCTTTAATAAGCTTGGTGTGTAGGAAAAGCTGTTAGAAAATAGTTACATGTCAAATTGCACATAATAAGTAATTCAGTATATCACTGGATACTTATGTGTTATTAATGGTATAGTATAAATTTTATTCAGTCACATAGTTCTGACCTTTAAAAATACTATTAGATAAACAGCAACAACAATGAAATATACTTTAATTCTATATTTGGTCTATTTCCGTTTTTATGTATGTTTTTCTGAGCTTAATAGACTAGTTCAAACATTTCCAAAACGCTATTTAAAAAGAATTTCCATATGGAATAAGCCTGTTTTTTACCCTACACAGTAATTGACCTTTGTTTTTATACACCTTGATTGAGAAAAACAGTTTTATTACAATATAATACTAACAAACATACACAAATTAAATATAGTTAAAGCTATAATAATTAGGATGATAATTCATTTGTACATATTAAAGGAAAGCTAATATCTATTACATGTAGCTTTGTATGCCTTTCTATGTACGTACATGTGAAAATTAAAGTTAGTAACAGTCTGTCCATTGGGAATAACTCATTGTGATGGCTAGCTAAATCAAGTGTGATAAAAACATTTTAGAAGTGAAAAGTGTATTTTTGTTTTGATTACTGCCATATGCACTGTGCCCAATGATTCATTATTTTTCCTCTACTAAAAATAGCGAAGTAATTTGATATTAGGACCGATGAAATGATGATAAAGCTTTTTGTTAGTGTTAGTTAGTTACCAGGAAAATATTTTGCATGACAAAGTAGTGCTTATTATTTATTATTATCATGTGTGGCCATGATCACTAAAAAAGTTCTTTTAGGAACTCTGTAGCATATTTAAGTCAATTTTAAAGGAAGCAGTTTAAATTTCAGTAGTCTAATTTGCAGGAGACTGAATTATGTAAATGTCTCTGAAAGGAGCTATTTCTAAAGAAACAGGGTTGTGTACGATAACTGTGCATCATTTAAAAGAATTGTATAGGTGATTTAGATGAGCTACATAAAAGCACTGGCATTGGGTGACATGAATTGTTATTTTTTTCCCTCTCTATTCTTGCTAAAAGAAATCCTGCAGCTAATAGAAATCTCTTATTTTTATTTTGTATGTTCCTTTTATTTCCATCTGGCAGGTGAGTTCACAGGGAATACAACTATCACTATCACATCTTACACAGATGCACGCCCATTTCCTAGCTGACAGTAGTGACTCCTTCAGTGCCTCTTTCTAAGAACTGTTGTGTATGTCATTTTAAATGAGAATTACTTGGCAAACAACTGTAGATTTTATCTCAGCTCACAAAGATCTTGAATTTTCTTACACTGTGGTAATTTCTCATTGAATTCTTTTCTTTTTTCCTTTTACCTTCAGCTCAAGTACCTGACAATGATGAGCAGTTTGTGCCAGACTATCAGGCTGAAAGTTGTAAGTATAGAATGATTCATTTCGTGTGTGTGTGTGTGTGTGTGTGTGTGTTTCCTTTGTTTTTTTATCTCTTTGAATGGTTTTTACCATAGTGTCTGTTTTTGCCAGGTACCCATGTTTTGTAGCCTACAGTCATGGATAAGTTTAGTTGGTGGAGTGTGACATCAGCAGAATCCCTTTATGGTGTGAGCCAAGCTCAAAATAGTGGCGAAGAAAACTGATTTCTGTAAATAATGGTCTTGCTTTCTAAATTTGGTATACATCTTTAGAGAGGAAATGGTATAATACCGAAGTGTCGTACTTCCGGTCTGCCATTATGTTCATAAGGAAGAGTCTAGATACTGATAGAAGATGTGATGGTGTCCTGCTTTTTTGTCACTAGTTAATATCCATATACCATTATTTATTAACTTAATGTTTCAGTGACTGGGGTAATCGGTATGGGTGTGTAAGAGGCAGTGAGATTGGCACAGGATAGAGCAGGGTTTAGGGCTGTTGTACATGGGGTCTCTATGAGTCGCAGGCAACTCAACGGCACATAACAACAACCACAACAACAACAACAACAACAACATTATTTATTAACTTATAAACATTACTGGCCCAAACACTATTTGGCTTATTGTACTGTTTCACATGAAATCATGAACTATCACATACGTTGCTTTAATTTTTAGCCTCAGGCTTTGCGTTGCCCACTTGCATTAACCAAATGAGAAATAACCATTGGCTTCTCTTCAGGTCCTTTCAGGTGTTCACTTCCCTGAGCCTTGCTCTGAGGTATTTACTGTCACAGAGTACATGAAGAGTCAATGATACATACACTACTCGCCTGTCTTTAATTGCAAAACAAAAAATTTTCATATGAAAACATGATTACTTCATGGTTTATTCTGATATTTATACTTTGTCACTTTACCAACTAGCTATGACTGCTAATCTGAGTTGAAAATAGTAACGAGAACTCTGTAAATGCCATCTTGATTGTGAAACTTACTAAACACTTATTTTGCTCACTGTGCAATATTTACAACTGTTGACTGATTCATGTCCTCCAGCCACTGACATTTTCACAGGAGGCAACAGGAGGTGACTCTATAGTACATTACAACTTATCAAACCTATGTTCTCTTGCCTTAACATCATACATCTACTACTGATTCATTCCTTTGAGTAACATATATTTGAGAGGAATTCTTTCTTCCTTTGTATTTGGTGTCTTAAAATTACCAGATTTCTAAGAGAGTATAATCTTTTCCTAATTCTCCCATGTTTTATATATGGTTCGAAATCCAACTTGACTTTTGATTTGAGAGGGGAATTTTGTATACTGATTGATATTTGAATACAGTTATTTGACCCATGCTTTCAAGAAATCTATTCAGCAATGATAGAGACCTTAATTAGGGATTCTCAGAATCTCTTCCAGAAGGAAAATGGCTATGCAAAATGCAAACCCTACCTTCTTGATTAAAGAGTGGGAGGAAAATGGTTACTTTTCCAACCTTGCCCTTTCTGTGTGGCGCTTACGTTCTTTCTAAAAGCTGTCATTTGTTTAGAATTAGTTTTTCTCAGTTATTTACCATCTGAAGAAATTGTTAACAGTTCCAATGCTATGCAAATACCAGGGTGGAACAAATTGCCTAAAGGTGACATTTTTACTTATTTTCTCCTTTGATTTCTTTCCAGCTTTTCTTAATCTTGGCTCTTTCATCTTCAATCTTCCCTCTTAGTCATGATGCTGTGGATTTGCCCCCCTTTCCCTTTTGACTACTTTGGTCACTTCTCACTCTACTCTTCTTCCTACCCTTCTCTGCATGTCCCTCACATCTCCCAGGCTTCAGTCCAGTGACAGATTGCCCAGTAAACAAGGAAACAGTCTTACTTACAGGTCTGCACTGAACTGTTGTAAACTGTAGTGAAAACGCTAATGACAGGTTTGTAAGTGAGCATGATAATATATATTTTTTTATTTATTTTAAGGCTAGTTTACAGAGATGTAGGGTTTTCAGTCATTCATTGTTGCACTTATCTCCGTGCTTACCTCGTCCCTCCCAATTCATTTTTCTCCTTGATAAGTAAAAGAAAAACTCTTTCATTGCACAATCATTTTTGGGGGGTGTTACATCGCTGCCAGGAAGTGTCAATTTGAGAAGGGTCTCTGATTCTGCAGGAAGGTGTTATGGGGTTGGGAGAGAGACACATGCACCCCTACCTAGAAGCAGAACATTGATGTGATGAGAATTCTGAAATTGTGCACTACAGATTAGCAAGTAAGCCTGTGCCAAAATTGCTTATTGAATAATCTGACAATTACTCTGCCTCCAAAATATTTCATCTTGACTTCAACACTGTCCCAATAAACTTTTAGTCATGAAAAAGTAACCACTAATTGCCTTTTTGTGCTTGTACATTGTACACTTGAAATGTGACTAGTGGAACCAAAGGCCTATTGGCTGCTGGATTGGTCAGTACAGCTCTATAGGGTGATGTCTCCTATATTTCCAGCTGTTCCATCACTAGGGTTTGTGTGTAAAGCAGAAAAAAGCAACATCTCTGGATTCATACCTGTGCATCATGTAAAATATCATTTGCTCCCAAAAACTGTTAATGCTTAGCAAGTCCTGTGGAGAAATAATTTCTTTTTTCTGACCAAAGTTTTTCTTTTCCTATTTCACTAACCAGGTCACTTTAGGCATGCCTTGCATGTTTTAACACAGTACAAATGCTTATAATTATGATTGGTTTTATAATGCTTTTATACCTCAAATTTGTTCTGAGTCCTAGTTCCCTTCTTAAAGTTGAAACATAAAGTCTTGCCTTATAGATATATACATATACATATATTAAGAAGAAACATTAACTGACAGGCCCAGTGTCAGATTGCCCTGTAAATAAGGTAAACACAAGCTTACCTTTGTTTACTCACTCTCTAATTTTGTGTTGTGTGCTATCTAGTCAGAACCAACTCTAGCTGACCCTCCATCAGGTTTTCAGAGGCTTTACCGAGCGTGAGAGGAAATTGCCCAGAAGAATAGCTGGTGAATTCAAATCGCATGCCTTTGAGTTGGCAGTGTGTAAAAAGTGTAAGGGCTGTGTGTGAGGATGGCCATATCTTGCCTGTTCATCATCAACAACCACAATGCAAAATCAGTTCTTGTGAGGTCAGATATGTCTCCCATGCCTGTCCACCTCCTACTCATTCCAGCACCAATCTTTATTGGGTCCAAACTCTGGTGCAATAGCTCACAGACCACACAAAAGTATATTAGGCAAGTCAAAAGGGAATGTGATTCAGAATGCACTAAATCAGTCAGAACAGCTTCCAGATGTGTTTGTCGGCACCTCAGCATTGAGCCTTGAAGCCAGTGAGTGTTCTAAAACCCTTAGACTTCTGATTATGGCTTCCTTCTACCCCACCCCCAAGTCCTCCAACCAGCTTGGACAAAGGACTCTTTATTCTGATTCAATCGCTTGGCAATCCCAAGGTCTCCTTTACAAGGTCTCTGGTCCTCTACATCAGCCACTGCTGCTGTTAACTCATAAGTCCAGCTGGTGCAAGAGTCTCTGGCTCCAAAGGGCATGCACTGCATGTCTGTTTCTTCTTTGCTGGTGTTGAGACTCTTGAATCTTGCCACTAAATGACTTGTTTAGCCAGTTAGTTGCCTTTTGGATAGACTAACACACTTTATTCATGTATTCCCACCCATCCACATGACAAAGTCAAATTTAATGGCTCAGACAGCCATTCTGAACAAGCAACACTTGACATAGCGCAACTCCGTACCACATGTCTGTATCTTGGAGATGGGAGAACTTGCTAAAATCAGGGCTATTTTAAAAACATTTTCAGAATAATGACTTTTTTAAACTGTAATTTGTGAAAATCTAGGAATCCTTAGATGGCAGAAATGGTTAAACACTTGAGAACTGTCCAAAACATTGGGCATTTGGATCCATCGAGAGACATAACGGGATAGGCCTGAAGATCCGATTCCAATAGAAAGCCTTATGGACAGTACTGCTCTCCACAATTGGAATTTTCATGAACTGAAATAGACTCAACTGCAACAAACTACAGTGTAAACTTAGAAAAAAAAATGGCAATGAGGTTCGTGAAGAAAGCATCCTGGATGATAAAGGAGAAAATCATTTAACAAAGGTGAAAATCACTCTAAAATGGTCTAGTAAGAAGTGAGTAGGCAGTTTATTTCATGTTGTTAAGCTTGTAAAGATGATCGTGGTCAGCTCATTCCAATGTTCATTTGAGAACAAGTGACTGGGGGTGGGAACGGGGAGGAATAGGGCATTTGGATTAGTTTCTCAGGAATATTTCTGGATGGAGTTATAAAATATTGGAAGCAGGAGAATAAATTGTCAACTAAGTACCTTTCTGAAATCTTGGCTTCTCTTGTGTCTGAAGAGACATCTTGTCTGGAGAATGGAATTAAACACCAGCCCCCTGTGGTCCTTCAGTATGTCTCATAAGGTTCTTTTTTCAAATACGTGTAGTTGTATTTCCTTATATATGTCAATCAAAAAAAAAAAAAGATTCGTCTGTGTTTTAGTCTTTTGGCAAAAATGCAGGTTAGGAGAATGAACTCTGAATTTCTGCTGAATATTGAGTTACACGCATACTGTAAAATGTACCAATGAATGTGGGTGACTAGAGAATAAAACATAGAAAACTGGGAAAAATGAGAGTTACGCACCACTAGTTTATTTTCTTCTGAAAATGAGGAAGCTTTTCCTTTTTTTTTTAAAGTGTTTAATTTGAAATATAGAATCCAATGATATTACACTAGAATTTGGTAAGTTTTAAAAGATGTTTAACTGAAGTAACAACGACAAAAACCTTCTTAAAGGGCCATCCTAGGAGGTGAGTGCAGACTAAAGGGAAATACCACATAGTTCTAATTTTTGCTGTTGTTTCTTAGAAGCAAATCTTAGGTATTCTGTAAACAAACAAACATAATTACATTAAGCTATGCTTTAGGCCA